ATTGGTACTATATAAAAACAAAAATGGAACTTTCAGAAATATTAAAATGTTGTAAACCTAAGATTGAACATCACAATTTAATCAAATGTGACACCACTAATACATACATGGCTTTCTTTACCATTTTCTCAGTAATTATCCCTCAACATCCTTCATCGATTTTTAGTTTTCATTCCAAAAAAATCAGTGTGTATTATAGTGAAACGTATCTTGCAAACAAAACCATTTCTTTTCATGGGAAAACAGCAATGGTAGGAAATATTTTTCTCAACTGTAGAATTGTGAAATAATCAACATTTTTTGTTAGAGCAAAGAACGGGGTTATAATTTATAGTGGTTTCTCAGATCCAGACAAACCTGACTCTGGCATACGTCTCCTCTTCATCTGCAACGATCCAGGCTATGTCTGCCAAGGTGGGAACTGCAGGGCCGTCAAAAGCACGAAGAGGGGGCAGACCTGGGAGCTCCTTTGGTAGAGAGATAAGCAATTATAACTCCTCTAGAAGTAAATTTATTGGTTTAAAAAAAAGAACCTTTAAAAAGAAGAGTAGCACAGGATGGGAAATGTACCTGAAAACATGCTCTCTGCGGAGGTTTGAGTGGAAGAGTGGAACCTATTCTTCTAACAACACTACGTGCCGCTCCGTGAGGCTTGTTCTGCCAGATGGGAATCATTTCCTAAAGAAGACATAAAAACAATCCTGGGTTCTCCTAAAAACATAAAGCTGCCGTCTGTCCAATTTTCCCATAGAGTCGGAGTAAAGTCAGATACAAGAGAGCAGATTATCGTCAACTAGAGCGTCACTAGTTAGCTTACTGTTTCTGTCTCCATGACGACGTTGGGTCAGCCTCATTCGTTGCACACCAAAGCTTGTGTGCAAGTTCTCTCTTAAGATGCAGCAGCTCAGTGAACAGATGCCATGCTCTTCAATGTCCCACTTCCTGGGATTAAAAAAAGAGCTTTGAGGTCAAATAAACTGAATCAAATCACAGCTTGCTAAATTTAAATGTACTATTTTCAGTTTTAGATTTTATAAATGTTTCGTCATCCATACTTTAAAACCCTGCGAACTTGGGCATAACATTTTTTTATATATTTTATTATATGAAAGACATTATTATTATATTGAAATACATGACATTTACTGAAAATGAAAATCAGAATTTTTTAAATATTCTTAATAAGATATTTACTTTTTTTGTCAAGTGTTAAGATAATGAAAAGAGCATGTTGTTTATGAAAAGTTTTATTAATGTAAGACTTTTAATGGGCTCAAAGTGTTGAAAACAATTTGTTTCGAACCCAAACCAAGCCACGATTTTACACTTTTAAATGTACATCAGCTAAATATTCAATTTCTCTTAATAAAATGACAAGTATAGTGGAAACTTTACAAAGAAACTCATCATAGCATGCATGTGTATCACACCGGTTACTCCGATGTTAACATGTGTGCAATAGTTTATATTAATACAACAAGATATGTTGATGCTATAGTTTTTTTGTATAGAATGGGTTCATGTGGCACATTGTGTCAAATATCTGTGAAAATGTGCCAATTTTGTCATAAGTATTTGACCATTTATTGGACAAAAAAAAAAACAAATTTGCTTTTGTTTTTTTAAGCTTAAACTTTGTTACCAAGATCTTTTTTTCTATGATGGGGACAAAAGCAAGTGCGTCATATTACAGGCTGTGAGCTGATATCTCTCCCTCAACTGGCTCTCATGACACACAGCCACATCTAGCCAAAAGCTCTTCCATTTGGCAGACGCTTCATATAAATCAATGCATCAGAACATAAGGCCAGTGAGAAGAGAAGTGGGCATGTGCAAAATGGATGGAAGTCCTTTCCAACAACACATTGTACGTCTATTTCTGACGCGGTCGGGTGTCACAATTTCAGTCAAAATAGAAGTAACTTTAATAACCTTCATGCTTTATGTACTGCTTTGAACACAGCTGATGATATACAGCAGAAACGCCATGAAAAAAAGGCTTGGTTATAAGCAGGACGTAAGCTTTTTACAAGAGAACTCTGCCTGGCACATTGAGAAGTCTATGCTCTGTTGTTCCACTAAAGCAACTAAATACTTCCCTAATAAAAACCCTGGAGAGCTTTCAGAAAGGGGGATAGAATAACTAAGGAAAATAGGCCAAATAAGAGAATGACAGGCGGCGTACAGGAAGAAGCAAACGTCAGGAGAACAATATCAGAGATGATCGGAAGATCTCAGGCTGAGTGTGGGCTCATCTCTGTAATAAACCAGCAGCTCTGGACATGTTGCACGGGTTAATCATGCCACCCATGAACAGAGGTTTTGGTCATCGTTATGGCCGTCACAGGTTGAAGTCTTGACCCTTTGACCTTTGCCGCATGTGTTTTCTTCTTGTCTAACTATTTACAAGGAGAGCAAAATATAAAGACCCCCAGAGCCTAAAAATAAGATTTAAAACCAGCACCCAGTAAAGGCCTCAGAGGTTCTAGAGAACTTTAAAGGAATAGTACACCCAAAACATGATTAGCCTTCATTTTCTACTCACCCCCATGCTGAACAACACTCTGGAGTACTTTTTTGATATCT